AGCAGGAGCTAGAAAGCAGCTAAATGCTGCAGGGCAGTTCAACAGAAGGTCTGCTTCAAAGTGTAGAGGGCATTTATTTAAGCTGCCCAGCTGTCTTGTTGGCATGACACAGGATGGAAGGGCAGCTAGAGACAGGGGTTGCCTCAGCTCTGCACTGGCTGGGAGGACAAGCTAACATGCTGTGTCACTGGGAACCCTGCATTAATAACACAGATAAATACCTGTCCTGCACTGTGGTCAGGGGAGATCTGAGCTGTTTGCCAAACCAAACCAGCACGTGGACAAGTTTGGGCACCTTGGGTTAATGTACCACTGCTGTGCTAGAGGCACAGCTGTCCCAGCCTTCTCTTAGCCACTTGTTTCCATGCCCTCAGCTATCTCTACCCTCAGAAACATCTTCTTACCCCCTTTGTTCTTCTTACCCTTCAGAAGCTGTAAAACTCACACTTCCAAAAGGCAGCTAGATAACACAACAGCATCCCTGGTTCTCCTCAGTGCTCAGGTTTCTCAATATCCAAGCACCAAGACAAACTCCACCCTCTCCTTGGTTAGGACCACAGTCCACCACAGCAGACCATGCTAGCCCTGAGTTTGTTGATACAGGTGACTGCAATGTCCTCACATTGCTGATGCACCTTTTCTGCAAAGGGTGAAATTCTGCCCTGAGACATGTGCCAAGCAGAAAGAAGCCTGGCCTTGCAAGGAGATGCTTTTCCTAAACAGCTCTAAACCAAACACAGCTCACAAAAAGACCAGGATTTGTCCCATTCTTAGTGTTCATATATTAATAAAGGAAACATCTGAAGTACTTGCCAAATTAAGCTGCCTCTGTAGTTCCTCACACCACCAGACCTGCATCCTCCTTGCTCCACCCATTGCCTTGCACTTCCTTTAAACACCATCAGGATTACATCCTGCCTCCTGAGGTAGCAAATCTACCTGCTAACAAGGAAATGTGTGAAGCAAAGATAAGGCCTTAGAGCTACCCAGGGTGCAGGCTCAGGGCTGATGAGAGAGCTGCAGTGCTGTCTCAGCCACTATTTCTGATCCACTTTGGGTCAATAGTGAATGGTCACAATCCTGTAAAGGAAATTGGGGTTGGGTAACTCTCCCTGTGGGCAGCTTCTTTCTCTGGGTTGATTGACACAATTGTTATTACTTGCTCTCTGCTTGTGCTCCTACAAGTAGGTACACAGCAACTCGGGCATGTTTTTTCCCCCTAAATACAGTTATGTCACCTCAGCACTGAAACAGGCTCTGAAACCACCCCTGCTGCATTTGTTTTACTTGGCAAAGCAGGGGCATCAGATCATCTACAGTCACTCACACACCTCACTGAAGACATGCCACCTGACAGTCCTAGCTTTAACTTCTCACCTATGTTCTTTGTGCCACACCCAAGAAGAACAAAACTGTTGAACTCAGAGAAGATCAAGATCCTTTATCACCCCTGACCACAAATGATGCAGTTTGTGTGCTCCAGGCCTGAGCCAAGCCAGACCCAAGCACGTAAGCTGGGCCACATTTCTCTTTGGCTCTGATAAGCTCAGACTTTGGCAGGCGTGTGTAAAGATTTCCTGGCCCCCAGACAATCCTGAGCTGCTTTAGTAGACAAAGTGTGTGTGTGTGTGTGTGTCTACACGGGTGCTGTGTGTATGTGCATGTGTGGCAGGGATGACAGACAATAACCCCAGCTTCGTGTGCCAGGCTGCCTGTAAATAAGAAGCCACAGGGTGATGGATGGGCTTGGGAAGGCCTGGAGCAGAATGGACGGGGTAGGCTCTCTGGTAGCTGACATGCAGAGAGCTGGCTGGAGCCAGGAGGATGGCATTGTGCAGATAAATGAGATTTCACTTCCCTGCTGGGTCTCTTTCCATCTGTTTTTCTGTTTCTGGAGGCAAATGCTGGGAAGCTTCATAAACAATCTGCCAAGAGACTTTCCCATTTCAAAGGACTCTCTCTCCCAGCTTTCTAGGGTCCCCAAAAGCAGACAGGTAATCTTACATGCACCCTTCTCTTTTCCTCCCTGGGGCAAAAGTAACAACACTTTTTTTCTCCCCAACATTTCTTTCATACTCACTTTGTAAAGAATTTCCTTGGGGTGACAGAGCAGCAGAGTGCCCTGCTCACAGATCTCCAGTCCTCTTCAGTCCCTCTTTGGAGCTGCCCTCCTTTCTTAGGTTTCCTGTATCCTTCTTTACCTTTCCTCCCTACCTTGCCTTTCATCTTTACCTGACTCGACAGTTTCCTTGTCCCTCACGACTCTGTTTGGTGTGAGAGGTTTCCCTTCTGCAGATATTTAGCTCAGGCTACTGAATCCTATCACCACCCTTTGAAACATCTGCTTTCCTTTGCCCAGGTTCTTTTCTCTCACTTGCTGCCATCACCAAACAGCACTCCACCACAGAAAAGGCCAAATTCACTAATACACAAGCAGCCCAAGAGGCAGGACACAGAGATTCAGGCTCGCAGGGAGTTGATTAGTAGCTGCAGCTGCCCCTGCAGCTCCACAGAGCATCTCCCTGGGGCAACTCATCTCCAGTGACCATCCAAAATGTGACTCACTCAACATAAGTTGCAGGGCTGGAATCAGGACTCTGTTTCTGCTCACCACTGGCCCAGGCAATCAATCCCTTCCCCTCACTGGCCAGCTCTGGCTGTGCTGTGCTTGTCACTGCATCCCTCCTAAGCTCCTGGACCCCTCGCAAAGCCTTCAGGTCACTCTGTGCCTCCCCCCTTACCCCGCAGCCACGCCACCCTTCCTCCTGTGCCTACCCTGACCCACACAGAGGGAGGGTGCAGCACCCACGTCCTCCAGGGACGGAG